CTATCCATTTCTATCCGTTTGAGATAATAGTCGGAAATGGCGAAAACAGTTTGGATGGGCACTGATGGACTAAGGATGGGAAGGAGGACACCTCCAAGTTCTTCGACAGGCGCTCGCCCCACCAAATTGGTGGTGCTGAATGCAATGGAAGTTCACATACATCAATTTGCTAGCTGGAAGCCATAGTTGGACATCCATCAAAACATATTATGATGAACTTGTTCTTGTTTTGGGGAGGCTACATCGTTCCAATTGTATCCAATTGTTTCTTGTGATATCCTGATGATTCACGGATTGAAGCCACGCCAGCTTAAAGGGGGTGAGTGTTCCTTGGCCAACATCCGTATATGAGGCTCTTCAAAGATAAGAACGAGAAGAAGTGAATAGCTGGCATCGGCTGGCAATTCCAGGGTAGTCGATGGTACAGCGAAAGTGGACTACCTGCATTGGTTGAAGGCCAACATGTTTGAGACCGAGATTGGAATTGAGGTACTGATTCTCATGCTGCTCTGATGTGGTCTGAAAATGTCTGAAATACGTTGGCACTCTCAAGCAAATCTGTGCAGTATTTGAAAACGCGTATTTTTTAAGCAAAACCCACAGTTGACCAGTGAATTTGTCCAGTATGTGAAACCACTCATACACCTTGGCATCCCTCAGGAACAATAAAAGTCACCCATTAGATCGCCTTGGGGCGATCCAATAGCAGTGACGCTAACTTGTCCCTGGCAAGTTAGCGTGCGAAGGTCTGGTTTTCATTCAGGAGATCTTGTGGCTTCAACATCAAAAATCAAAACGATGTCTGGTCTGCCGTGGCTTTGCAGGCTGCTGTTTCGCAGCCGGGTATGGATTTATCCTAACAAAGACTTAGACTTATCACTGGCTTCAGGCCGCAGGAGCGAGCAAAAGACATTATTCTGCAGCCATTCCATCAAGGATGGGCCCATTTGGCAGCGCTTCAAACCATCCCAAACCATCCCAAACCCACGATGGTTGATGGTGGTATGGTGTTTCCTCTCATTGATTCAATGATGGTTATTAAATGATATTAATATGGAATTATCAGTATTTGTTGCGCCCTTGTCCTGTACCTTGAGGCAGTATCGTCTCAGTACATAGGTACGTAGTGTTAGCTGTAATTCGAGAGCAAGAAAGGGAATGCTCTTATGGCACAACAGATCCACATCGTTGTTTGGCTGTGGTGCCGGCCCCCGGAAGCCGTGATGCTCCAATGGTCCGTGAACAAGGGAAACCACAAGATGTTTGGGGATTCACAGTTTTTGGGGAGGTTTTCCATGGTTTCCCCATGCATTCCATCCATTGGTTAGGCTTGCTGATTGGGACATGCCGCATCCGCCGAACCTTTCGATACCCGCCTTGAAGCGCTGCAAGCGCCCATGACTTTTTGAGATTTATGCCACTTGCCTTAGCCTATCTAATCAACATTAATCAACAATATCAAACATGGTTTTCACATTTTGCAGCAGGGTGGCACGCTCGACCAATCAGATTTCATCAGATTTTATGAGTTGAATATTCGTAAATCCATGTAAATCCCAGCCAAACTTTAGGGTGAACTCCAGGGGATTCCATGGGTTTTGACTCATATCCAAATCGCATCCGGGTCGCGATGATGAAAAGTCACCGCGAGACATGTCTGTCGCGGAGAGCTCAGATTGGACAATGTTGGAAATCCTCCATTTGTCACAATCGAAATCCGAAATGAAGGTGCCATCTGGTAATTGAACATGGCTATGGAAAATCATCTGTAATTTGAGCAATTTTGGTCAATTTTCATAGTTATATTAAATTACCAGAGTGTAGATAGTGCAACGTGATGATAAATGGTAGACCTTTCCAGGGCTTTTCTGAAAAGGACATCACGCAGTTTTCTCACTGATGTTGAATATGTTGTTGGATGTAGCAGACAGGGATGCAAATTTGACTTGCATAGACTGCTCACAAAGGTTCAACATGTTGTGATTTTTGTGAGGTCGGCAAGACTCCCTGAAGATTTTTTGGATACATCCCTTTTGCTCGTGATTTCAGAATCATAATCCAATGATTGTGCATGCCTACGATTTTTTCACCAGGCTGGATGTCAGTTGGAAGAGGCTTTCCTACTGAAGGCCAGCTTTTTTTCTTGTGTTTGGAGTTTTTTTTTGGATGTGTTTTTTATATGATTTGTTTCAATCCAATGAATGTAGGAAAGCCCAAAAAAAATGTAGTAGCCCAAAAAAAGCACAGTCTATTTGCTGATTTTACATTATTGTACCATTTGGAGGGTATGTTTGCAACATGTTGCAACCATACCCTGGAAGAGATGTTTATCAGTATCATTGGGTTTAACATATGTAGTATTTGATTCAAGAGCGGCTTTGGAGTATCTTCTGCCTGTAGAGTTCGCACGCAACCAGTGACACTAGATGACACGAGTACTGTATGTACAGTAGATGAACCATCCCAAGATGGGTTCCTGCACTCAAGACTCGTACAATACTTACCTACATTCACTCCAAAAGAACTTCCAAGTCTAGGTAACTTCGGTATATATTATATCAATTTCCATATTATGAACATATGTATATTACATATACACCATCAAACAAAGTATATATTGCCATTGCTAGTGTATAATATATATATATATATGCAATGTATATTGCATGTGCATGTATATATATATATACACACACTCACTTGTATGGTATGGGACATACGACATGTTACGCTGTTTTCATATTTGGATCTCTGCCGAATGGCACCAGGGTCACCAGGTGCTGCGTGATGTGGTGAACCAGCACATCCTTCAGAAGGAGGAGGCAAGGGTGGGAAAATGGGGATACATGGGGATACTCAGGGATTTAAGCAACAACATATGGAGATAATGGATGAGAATGTGGTAAACCCAAGAAACCCCAATGAAGGATGGCTGATGATTGGGTTTAGCTCATGAATCTTTCTCCCAAAGCCAGAAAATTGCAGGGTTTCATACCAGGTTGAAGATGATCTAGAACGGCACTTGGAGGCCGCATGAGTGGGTGGGTAGGGTCTGCCAGATGACCTGGATGTTCCGTAGAAAGTGCAAATGGAAACCCATTCGAAGCCAATCTTCAGAAAATTACGATAGATATGGAACACCCATCATGTTTATTCATGTTTTGACCTATTTTCCTTTGAAAACCTCCATTTTTCTCAATTCTTTGACTATTTCCTTGGAAAAGCCATGAGTTTTCCATATTTTCTGCACATCCCCGGCCATTTTCTACACATCCGTGGGTTCCCTGTGAAATCCCTGTGGGTCCCCATGGGTCCTGCGAGGCCCTATGGGATCTGTCCATGGAACAACAAGCTGCAGAGATCATTCAGCAGTTCCAAGGGCTGAAGATCTTCGCAGAGGCGCGGAGGAATGTGCCGTGAATTTCACCAGAAATGGTGGATTTGTTCACCAGAATTCATGGGAGTTTCATGGGAAAATATGGGAAGTACCTATCTTTGCTATCTTTGGGAAGTGTCCATGTTTGGTAATTTTCATCACCGACTGGATGTGTACTTTAATCCTTTGGTTTTTGGTGATAAATGGAAAATCACAATCACCACCAGCAAAAGATTATGTTTCTGTGGGCTATCATGGGCTATCAATGATTGATCATGTATTCTGGGATATAGCCAACCGCAAATGGGATATTCCCTTGGAATATATTTATCCTGCACTCAAAGGAAGTGTATAGCTGGCAAAATCATGGAATTCAATGGGGGATTGATTTTCCAGCAAGCCATGTTTGATTTTATGTTATATATGTGTATATAAACATGTTGGAGTAGATGGAATATGTGATATTCATGGATTTTCAACTTGTCATGGATTTTCAAACAAAATATCCTGGAGCGGTTAGAGTATGGACATTTTTAAAAATCCTCACTGAAATGGGACTGTGTTTGAACATCCCATATTCTATATACGTACTTCAAGATGTTTTTGTACATAGTAACCCCGCTTCAAAGAAGAGCAAAAAGTCAAAGTAACATCCTACTTCCAGATAGTGATAGATTGCTTTCCTATCTTTTTTGGGGTCGCTAAAAGAAACACAATGATTATATCCCAGGGTTTGTAACCTAAGTAATCTAAGTATTGGATCATTTTGTATGTATCCCACTTATGATATTACCAAATGCAACTGGACAGATGATATGACCCTCCTACCCTGCATGGGATGCACCCCCCTCATCAAACGTGTCTAAGTTTAAGACATATACCTATATTATATACTCATATATAATCACATCTAGATGTATGGTTTCCCGGTTTTATGGAGGATGCTCCATATTATGGCATTTTGCAGTGTCTTCATCTTCCCCACTTCAGGCACAACTTGGCGAAGTGATAAGCTGCTTGTTTGAGAACGGTTTTCCCTCTATGGGTTAGTTCATCTCCAATATCCGAGGTAGTCTAATTCCCTTTAATAACCAGTCAACCAAGATTATAAACCATGATGTTTCTATGACGTCCCATGATTTTTCCATGGTTTGGGGGATCCTCAATCATATGAGCCATCTTTTCGTTGCGGAGGCAGCGGAGCGACTCAATTTTGAGGGCCACCTTTCAGAAGTTCTTCTGGGGATCTTAGCCAATGCAGGGAAACCCAATGGAGATGGGTGCCATGGGTGCCATGGGTGCCATGGGTGCCATGGGTGCCATGGGTGCCATGGGTGCCATGGGTGCCATGGGTGCCATGGGTGCCATGGGTGCCATGGGTGCCATGGGTGCCATGGGTGCCATGGATCAAGAATCCGAAATGGTCTGCTATGGGCTTATGTCAAACTAATGAACCCCCCCTGTAGTGTTCAAACTCGATAATTGTGTGGACCATTTGCCAAACATGATCGACACGTACCCACATGCGAAGCTCATATGCATTGATGTGCATTGAGGAAAATGCCAAGATCTTCTATCTTGTTCAAGTTGTGTGATGTTCCCCATGGTGCTCGGGGAAAATGACCAGAACGATTTTGCCTGTGGACGTGGTGGATGTTGGTGATCAGTGGTCTCATAGCCATGATTATTCTTCATATTTGTAGACTACACAATTGCACCCCCAATTGTTTGATCAAACATCCGCAAAACATACGAAGCTGGATAATTTATCTGGAATATAAGCCTTGGTTTGGTGTGAATGTTAGTGTTTAGTGAGGACTGAGACATGTCCAGTAGATTCCAGTAGCATGTTCAAGCAAGGGGTATGCTAGCAGCTAGCAGCTACTACCACTAGGCTTAAGTCGTATCAATCGACCTGAAGTCGTATCACACCTGCGTGCGCGCAGTGTTTCGTATAGATTTTGATAGTTCTTTATTTGATGGGTTATTTATTCGAACACTTTTTCA